TATGGGGAAGAGTACTAGAAGGAGAAGCAGGAGCCAAATCCAAATAGGAAGTAAAAGCTAAAGTACTTAATTCGGCAAAAATCTTTAAACGATTCCTGACGACTTTTTAAATTAGTTTGACAACCTGTCAAGTCCTTATTTTTCAAAACCTTCAGATTACACTCTTCACACAAGATCTTCCCTGGTAATGACCTGTTTGGGACAAGCCCAACATCCTTGAAGCTGGGGCAAAAATGTCTATAAGAGGAAGGAGATCTAGAGAAATAGTGCCGATGTATGCTGATGTCTGCTGAAGAATTTAGAATGGTCCTTGATATCCCTGAAGGGTGAATGATGCTCTGATCTAACAAAGCTGAAAAAAACAGTAGATAAGTCAAAACACATATGCCAGAGCAAGCATGATACTAACAGCAAACTGTACAATGCCCTACCTTCTTGGCTGGTCTCTAGAGGGAGGTGAGTGGTCCATGCTTCTCAGCTTTATACACAGAATCTGGAAGTATGCATACCAGATATAAGTAGAGTAGCCCATAGTCACTGTGGCCCCCATCCCAAAGTCACTGTATGAGGGGGGCAGAGGCAAATGGGAGCTCTGTAACCCACACATACAAGAGAGGGACAGTCTGAGTTGGTAGCTCCTGGGCAAACAAGGCCATTTAAACAGTGGCACAGGAAGCATGTACAAAATCATTAGACACAAACTTGGCTATCGCACCTGGGCAGTATGGGCCTGGAACAAGATAAATGGCTGCTGCACATGAACAATGCGGTATGGCAGACCCATGCTGATGGAATGTATAAAGTTAATTTTGAGCAGCTCTGCCATTGATATAGATGGCCTGCTAAGCAGCTATGCGAGCGGCTGGTACAGCAACACAGGACAACGGTCCTATCCGCCCATTACCATGGATGTACTACTCAGAGTGGGAGAAGCTGAACCACCTTGCACTGGTTTTCCCCTGATTCTTACAAAGGTAAAGACCACACACACAGACATATTTTTTGAAAGCACAGTGGCAAAACCCTGAAGATCATGGATCATAAAACCAAAACTATAGAAATGCATGCATCCTAATCAGACCTATATGTCTGGACAGTGGGACCTCACCAAGGAGAAGGTACATAGGTGGACAGCCCTGACTTTGCCAGCTAGGGTTTTTTCCTGTGTGGGGTAGAGGAGACAGAGTCTACCCAACATATGCTGCCACTGAACTGTCAGGCGAAGGGCACTGGAACAAATAACAGCTAAACCAGCATCTGAGACTCAAATGGTTAAAAAAAGAAAATCACTTTTACAATTTTTTTTTTTTTTTTTTACAGTCCTGGCCAAAAAAGAAACAAAAGGAAACCACTATGCATTCTCTTTAAGGATTACTTTCCAGGAATGAATTGTACAGTTGCCATGTTACTTATGTGTTACTTATGAAATACTTGCATGGACTTTGGTCATATTTATTTTATATTATGTAATCATTCAGTAGTTGTATGAACTAAAGTTATCTAAATGCCTCTTACATCTCCATATGAGACGGTTTTCACATTTTCGCATTGTCTGACTTTCAGAACATGAAAATAGGCAATCAATACCTGCTGTTGTGGAAATTTTATTAGGATGTGTTTTTAGTGTATTGTAATGTTTTGTCATTAGTCTCTCAGTGTCTTGGTTTAAATAGACACTGGGGGATTAATCCATTGGAGGAGATTTCTTATGCGCAGCGGAGCAGTGTTGTCTTGGCGAGTGTATGGACGCCGGCTGGGGCCCCCCGTGCAATGCATGGATTTATTAGCTTGCGTGGATACATTTGTCTTGAACGCAGTATATGAAAGGAACGTGCGTTTGTTCTCTCTGGGGTGCCTGATCAACACGCTTGAGATGATATAACGTTATCCCTGTGAATGAGCGCGCATGAGAATCCTAGTAACGTTATGTGGCATTGCTCACTGAGCAACGCTGGATAAAGTCACTCCGGTGGTCATTGATGTTACTACATGTGATTTGTTAGCTGACTCCTGTTCACTTCCTGTCTGACATCACTTCCTGTCTCGCTGTTTGAGACACCCCTTCCTGTCTGACATCACTTCCTGTTGGGCAGGTATAAACAATAAACACACCTGCGTTCAGGTCTCTTAGCATGGGATTAACGAACAAGCAACATCTGTCTCCTGACTCTACATGACTCTATGGAAGGGAAATACTTCCAGTCCTTGCATAAAGGAGCGTAGTACAACGGGGGAAATTCTTTGCGTTTGGCGCAGCTTAATGCGACATGGATTTGTGCGTTGAACCAAGTGAATTTCCATAACACTGCTGTACACAGTGCTTGCAATGAACTACGTAGAATAAGTTGCAGTGACTTTGTTAGCATATTAAAATACGAATAAAACCAAAACTATTGAAATGCATGCATCCTATGTATAAAAAAATAGACTAAGACAAAAAATGATCTTTAGCATAGAAAGGGCATCTTATATTACAAACGTATTTTATTGTAGCTCTGTATACAGATTGCAGTAACGGTTACAAATAGTTTACTATTTTGTTGAGAAAGATGGTTTATGTGTGTGTATGTATATAGAGGGTACAACTAGAGCAGCTTGTGCACTAAGGAATAGTAGTAGAAAATAGTAGCAGGTTAAGAATGTGGCTACAATGCATATGCATTAAAGTGAACCTTTACCCATATCTTTAAAATAACAACAAACACATCTTTAGAAATGTTTAGTAATGACTATCTACAATCACATACTTCTAGATAATTGCAGGATTTGTATTCTTTGCATTCCTTATTTCTCTTTTCTTCCCTGGTCTTCTGACAGTGGCCATGTATATATAGTGGCAGATTACCAGCTCTCCTATTACTCCTGGAATTCTGGCACATGTGACTAGACATGTGACAAGAACGTGTGACCATGTTCATCATCTGAGGGGAGGAAAATGCCTTTCCCCGAGGTCTCATGAGATTACAGATGAGATTTCCAAGCAATGCTCTGCTTATGACAAGGCAATCCCAGTGTGCATTGCATTGCCAAGCTGAAGTCATTTTGCCTTTTCAAAGCAGGAAGTGAATGCTCTGCAAGTGTAAGTATTTCATAATCACAGCACTTTACACCTGACATGTTATTATTCATCATACATAGAAGGATGCATTGGTAGAATTCGATTTTTTGAGTGTAAAGGTCATTAAACCTTTACTTGTTTTTAATTGTACACATGGGAGAACCTGTGTGGCATGTAGATCATTTCCTTCCCCCCCCCTCCATTTCTCATTCTCTAGTGGGTCCCCTGCTGTGCTTTCCCCTGCCCCCTGTGTGGGTGCCTCCATCAGCTAAGCGGCTGCTGTGGAGGCACCTGTGCGTGCGCTTTCCTGGCCATGCCCGAAGTAGCTGTGTGCCTCCATAGACACACACAGCCCTGCAGTAGGCCATGCCCTCCTCTCCACCCAACAGGTTGATTGGTGGCAGAAGGAACCTATGTCTCATCTGCCCTCAATCTCCTCCCCCTTCAAGCAGGAAGTTTGGAACAGAGGTTCGCTCTGGGGAATGGCGGCGTTGACATGCGGCACTGACAGGTAAGTGTTGGGGGGAGGGGGACACATAAAAGGTACTGGGCATTTTTCACCCTAATGCAGAGAATGCATTAAGATAAAAAAAATGCCCTGCCTTTAATATTATACACAATATTTGGTGGTACAGTGGTATACTTTATATTGGTGTATTAGTTTCAATGGTATTACAATGGTATTACATTTTTAATATTGCATTATACCTAATGGCAATACAGACTCTTTGGCATTACTTGCATTTCTGTAAAGATGCTTATGAATTTCATATGACATCTGATCTAAATCTCAGGTCGACACCCAGTTTGCATGACATTTTTTGTGTTTAAAAAAACAAAAACAAATTAAAGTGTATGTAAAGTCACTAGTTTTGGAAAGAGTAGGAAATGGTTAGGACACCTGTCAAGCAATTAAAACAACAAAAAGGGCTAAAGCGCACTATCTGCTGGGTAAAAGACTTCAATCGGCTATACAGAAATGTACTGTAGAATAGTGAGTGATCAGGAATACAGTGTGCAAGCTCTGTCAAAAACAGGGAGAGGAACCCTGTGGGTACACAACTAAAATCACACAATGAGAAAGCGCCACTACTGTAAAGAAACCACTCACGTTACTGTTGTCAGCATATCGTGTGTCCGCTGGTCCTACAGTGCTGGGAAAATGTGCAGGGGAACGAACTGAGGACTGTCAGGGGTGATCGTGTGAACAGCGTGAACTCAGCTGGCCAGGCTGAGCCGCGGCTGCACGAGTATAAGGCGGTGTTAGTGCCGGACTGTACGGAGACCCCAATAGACTCTATTGCACTTTCAATTGAGGCTTGACAAAGAGGCAGAGCCTCGAAACGCGTAGCCGCCGGCATTGGACACCACCCTTGTCCTGCTCTTTACATTCCCCTTCGTTTTTGACATTCCAGAGACACCACCCCCACAGACTACTGGGGTCTCCCTTGTTTCCATGGTATCATTGTATAAAAGTATGATGCAAAGTAAAAATTCCTTTACCTTTGAGCTGAATGGGCCTCTACTGTACTTTATCTTTCATCAGCACTAGCAAAAGGCCAACTTGTCTTCAATAAGTATATAATAATTACTTTAGCAAACAATGATTATTGATACAGGAGCTGCTGCTTAGCATTCACAACCTTTCCAAGACCTTAATGAGTCACGAAATATTGGGATAACCTGGCAGACAGGTCAGTAAAGAGCAGAAGAGGGTGGGGTAAGATGGATGATAAAATATAAATAGAAGGAAATAATAAGAACACTCTGGAGAGGAGAGTGGAGGAGAAGGAAGGAGAGGAATTAAATCATTATAGTAAGAGTAACTAAATAAGTTGGCAGGAGGAAGAAATGGAACAATTATATATTCAGAAAGAGGTGAAGAAATTGATGTATGAGTAACAGGATAAGAGTCGGATGAGAAGCTGTAATAGCAAAAAAGCTGAGGAAATTTCATTGTTAGAACTGAAAGGAAGGACAAGTGCCATTTGTGAAGAAGACACCTGGTACCATCATGGAGCCCCTTCTGGCAGTAAAAGTTGGATGTTTGGTGGCTCTTCTGTTCCTGACGTTGATTTGTGGGATGGCTCCCGCCTTTATCAGCTGGTTCCTGAAAAAAAGTGTCACAGGTACCAAACTGTCACTGTATTTATTTTGGACATAGGGACCTTTTCCATTGTTCTCAGTGCGGGTTTGTCAAAACTTACTCAAGTATCTGAGATAGCTTTATGTAACACAATGTTCTCTTCAAAATGTTATCTTGTGTGTATTAACTTAAGTATAGCACACTTATATAAACACAGCTATCAATATGTAATATGTAAGCAAACTAACACTGAAAATCAGTGTATTTTATACGTGTTGCTGATTTTTTTTCCTGCCTCCCTTTTCTGATTACATATAAAATGAACAACCTACACCTAATATGCACTTATTGTTTTTTCAAAAATGTGTGCTCATTTGTTGAATGTTCGCAATACAGAAAGACAAATGATATGTGTTGTTATGTGCTGTTAAAGGGAATATATGAAGTGTTACTGTGTGTGTGCATATGGATTTATTTAAAAATATAAAAGATACTTGTAATGATAACTACTTCCTGATTCTTGTTAGGAATATGTGAAAAATAAATGTCAAAACTGTAAATAAAAACTACATTTGTGTGGGTTTGTGATAAAAAGGTATGCTTGTATATAATAATAATAATATTGCTATTGATTGATGTTTTACCCAAAATGTACACAACTTTAATCTGAATTATATACAATTTTCCAGGTGAATCCAATTGAAACTTGTGCATCTTGGGTGAAAAATAGATTGATCGATAGACCCCTAAATTAAAGAGTGTGTGACCTTACTAAATAACTGCTTACAAATGTGGAATAGTGGTTTCCACTTATATCACCACTTGGTCTTTAAAACCAATCCAGGTTAGGTGTCTGTAGCAACAGATTTATCATCCTAAAGACTAAATGTAATACAACTGAAATTCAGATGTGATGAACACTTAGGGGTATACCTATAAAGCAGTGAATGTAACTTTTACCAAACATTCACTCAGGTAAATCTTCCTGGTGCATGTGGTTTAAAAGACAAATATTGATTTGTTTTGGATGTACACTCTTGTGTCTTCTGTGTCCCATTTGAGAGATTTACTGTAACTTCCTGTCCTATAGACACAACAGGAAGCAAGAGGAGATCTCTGCAAAGTGAGGTAAATGCCCTCTTAGACAGTGGTCACAAATACAGGTTTCTCCATTGAAATATTTCTCCTCTAATTCTGTTCTGGTGACAGCTGAAAATTGTTTATTTTCCGTTCTTTCAGTCCCAGAGACAATGGGCACCAGGACAAATCAAGAGGGTGAATCCCCACAGCAATGAAAAAGACAGCAATTAAACATGACAGGGGTTCTAAGCCTTCCCTATGGTATGCAAAATAAAATTTAAAAAAGGTTTTGGGTCCACTTTATTTGTTCCAGAGGTTAGTCTTACACTGAAGTGTTCATCCTGTATATTTTAGCTTGGTATTTAGATGGTCAGCCTGGTGATTGGGGGAAAAGAAACACTACAGCGCTGTGTGTTCATTTTACAGTATGTTGGATTTAACATCACCTTTGTGTATTAGTATACATTGATCAGCCATAACATTCTCACCACCCACCTAATATTAAGTAGGTCCCCCTTTGCCACCAAAACAGTCTTGAGTCGTTTAACACCTTGAACTCATTGTTGTGTTCCTCAAACCAATCTTGAACCATTTCTGCAGTGTGGCATTGCACATTATCCTGCTGAAAGAGGCCACTGCCATCAGAGAATACGGTCTCCATGAAAGGGTGTACTTGTTTAAGTAGGTGGTACATGTCAAAGTCATATGTTTAGGTAAGTGGTGTGTGTCAAAGTAACATCCACATGAATGGCAGGACCCAAGGATTCCCAGCAGAACATTGCCCAAAGCATCACACTGCCTCTGCAGGATTGCCTTGCATCCTGGTGCCTTGTCTTCGCCAGATCAGCAATGCACCCGGCCATCCACATGATTCATCAGATGTAATTCATCAGACCAGTCCACCTTCTTCTATTACTCTGAACTTTTGCTCAGACACCTTTCTATTGGCACCAACATTAACTTTTCAGCATTTCGAGCTACAGTAGCTATTCGATTAGACAGGACTACACAGGCCAGAGTTCGCTCCCCATGTGCATCAGTGAGCCTTGGCCACCCATAACCTTGTCGCTGGTTTACCAGTTTTCCTTCCTTGGACCACATTTGGTAGATCCTAACCCCTGCAGAACGGGAACATCCCACGACAGCTGCAGTTTTGGAGTTACTCTGACCCAGTTGTCTAGCCATCAAAATTTAGCCCTTGTCAAAGTCGCTCAGATCGATGAGTTTGGAGTTTTCCTGGCACAGGATGTGAAAGGAAATTATCCCCTATGGTACAGACACAAAAAGAAAAAAAACAAAAGACAAAACAGGCAGGGGTTCCTCTCTGTGGGTGCAAACACCTTTAAGAGACAAGAGTAAATACAGCCAGATATGTTGAGTGTCTGTGTATAAATCTTTTAGTGGTTTATCTTTATTTAACCTGAACTCCAGAATAAGCAAAGTTTGCCTAGCTATAAGAGTCATGTGTATTTCTAATTGAATATCTGTGTTCTTTCTGTATTTCGTCCAGATCTATGCAGTAGCCCAGTGTGAAACTTTACCTCTGAGCTAAAGACCGTCACAGCTGCTCTCTCTCCTTGTGCAGGGTGACTGGTCTTGTATCCACCCCACCTGAGGTTTTCTGCAGGAAGTCCGTAGTGGGGGGACTTGCTGGGTACCTCCCACAGCTCTGTACAGACAATGTGGAGCACTGTGATTATGTCACCACTACTACTAACGCAATATCTGCATTTGTAAAGGCATATGATACACACAAAGTGGGTTTATATCTTTTGTGGCTATAAAGAAATATATTTAAAATGTTTTTGTGACTGGAGATCAACTTTAACAATATACAGTCTATGAGTGCCTTAACATGGCTTTAGCATACTGACATTTAAAAAATATTTAAACAATGGTAAGGTTTTTTTTTTACTGTGGTCTTTGTTTGTGAATGAGACTGTTTTATATGATGACTTGCTCAGTTTCACATGACTGTTTTTGTTGCAGGCATCTATGAACTTATAATTTGCTTGATCAGCTCATTTGCAGCTGGCATCTTCCTGGGTGCGTGTTTGCTTCACGTAGTGGCAGGCTTCCTCTCAGATGCTGCCGTGGAACTTGCATATGTAAGTCTGCACGTCATTTACAACATCCTATAGTTATATTAATAGAAGAATACAGTGCACAGAAACAGAATATAATACCCGTTTGTTGGGTAAAATTTAAAAGTTGGGGTTACCACGAGTAAGCAGATACCAAACATGTCATGTGTTGAAATTGCATGTGCCCGTGCAATGGCGAAAAATTATGGTACTCAAAATTGTCCATGGCCGATGCTTTAAAAGCTTTTATTGCTCATCAATTTAGAGTTAACATCACATTATGTAGCCAGAATTATTGCGCTCACTCTGACGTTCGTGGAGATACCCAACATGTGAGACGCATTCGTTGTTAACTCGTTGTTTTCATTCATGTGCAGATGACAGGGTAGTTTTATTTTGTATTTATTTTATTATTTTTTACTATTTTATCACTTGTTTTAAAAAAAAAAAATTAACTTTATTGCTATCACACAGGGGCTAACAATACGACTACGAATAACTAAATTTTGATTTTTTTTGGAGGGGGAGGGTTACTACACATTATAGTCACTCTTTGTGCAACCTCATTGAAAAAGCTGGGATGTACTATATAGTTGTTGGGTCACCAACAAATGTCACTACATGTCTTTGAACAAGTTCTCTAACAAGAGGGTATTGCAGGAGTGTAGCTACATATAACTATACTGTAAATTCCATAAGACATCAGACAATAACCACTTGACATTCTGGATCAGGTCATAAGCTATGAGTCTGGGAACAACAGCACACAGTAGCAGACATGTGCAGCCAACAGGTAAAGGAATCACAAGTGACAGACAATGTTGAGTTTTGAAGCAGTTGCTATTGTTTTTGCTGCAGCAAGGTATACCATCTGTATAGCTGTAAATATGAATGCTGGGCTATCCAAAAGTACACAATTAGTGAAAGACCTTTCCAAAGAAAGATCTTTCAGCGGTCTGATTTTTCCTGCGACCCAGTAATGTGGAAGGCCTCTTCCTAACTCCAATCTAATGCGTTCTTATCAGAAAACCACAACCCACAGAATTTGGTAGGAGAGCTATAGTAAAGGATTTTGTTTGTATAAATAGCAAAAGAAGAATTTACTGTATAATGGAGATAAACGCTTCAGTAACATTTATTTGTCTGGTTCTTAATACTTAAAGGAGAACTATGAGGTGAGTGCTTTTCACTCACCTCATAGTTCTAGCCGACCTGTGACAATGAGACTGTCACAGGTCGGCTCAGTAGATCGGGAGGTGAGCGAACAAATACCGGCGTTCGCTCACCTCTCAATCCTGTCACGGCTCTCTGCCATGACAGGGGAGGGGCTGGATCCCCCTCTCCCCGCTCCGATCCGCCAGCGCTGACTGGCGAAACGGACGGGGGAGGGGGTGGGTACAGCTGGCTCTGCCTCTAGATAGGCAGAGCCAGCTGTCAGTCACGCAGCTGGGCGGATCCCGGCACAATTGTCGGGATCTGCTTCAGCTGCGGCATCTCAGTATACTGCGAGCAGCAGCTCGCGGGATACTGCGGCGTCTCAGTATACCGCGAGCTGTAGCTGTATACCGAGTCTAGGGTGACGGGAGGATGCTAGTTTGTGTCCTCCCGTTACCCTAAGGAGAACTATTTAGAAAAGCTTTAACCCCATAGTTCTCCTTTAACACAAATACAGAGGACAGGAGTTGATATACTGTATGTTCTCTTTAAGAGGTTTAAATTCACAGGGGACGCGTCGTCTTGATACATTCTAATAAGTTGGATAACTATGTTACCTGGCTTTCCTGTATATTGTCAAATGATTTATTTCTATATACCAGTGAATGCTTTGTGTTAAAGCTTTTATTAACAAACGGTTGCACATTCCATTATGTGACAGCATATAGTGAAAGTACCCTCTCTCAGCATTTTATTAGTCCATATAATTCATGTAATATTTTCAGTTTGTATCAGCCCTATCATATTTCAGCGCATCTTTCTTTCTAGCGCTTTACTTGTTGATTTAAACCTTTCTTGTATATTGCCTACATAATTAAATAATCAGAGTATTGTACATGGATCCTTTTCCATAGAGTTATGCATATGGCTTTTGTTAAAATGCTGCATAAAGATCATGATGTCATATACATTACTACCTGAATGAAGTATCATCCATCCTGTAAGTTAGTTTTCCTTTTGTAATAATTTATCATTTCCTTTTTACAGATTAATTACCCTATGGGAGAGCTGATCCTGTCATTTGGCTTTTTCCTTGTCCTTCTCATAGAACGCATTGTACTGCAAATATCTCAGAGATCAGAGAGCACTGTTCAAGAGAACATCCCAATGCCCTCTACTCCACAAAGTCCTGATGATAACTATCAGGAGAAAAATGACCCTCAAAGTGAGAAATCTCTGCCACCTGAAGATCCACATAACCATGTCCATCCTCATGTATATTCTAATTCCTCCTTCCGCTCCCTTATTCTCTTTTGCTCCCTCTCCGTCCACTCAGTTTTTGAGGGTTTAGCAATTGGTCTTCAGTCCAACTATTCCAGTGCTCTTGAGATTGCAATTGCTGTACTAATCCACAAGGGTATCATTGTCTTCAGTCTGTCTCTAAAGTTAATCCAGAGCATGACTAGACCAGCTTGGCTAATCACTTACATAGTGATATTCTCTCTTATGTCTCCTATTGGGATTACTATTGGAATTATTGTTACACTAAAAAAGACCACCATAGTGACTCTGGTGCAGACCATCTTAGCGGGTATTTCCTCTGGCACATTTATATATGTCACTTTCTTGGAAATTCTGCCACAAGAACTAAATTCAGGAGACAGACCTCTTTTAAAAGTCCTCTTTATTATTATTGGGTTTACAGTAATGGCAGTCATAGCTATCTGGGCCTGAGGATCCCTTGTTTTTGTGCCACTGCAAAAGGTTAGTAATTCTTTGCTTTCTGAAAGACCAGTGTAAATCACTTTTTATACTTTGGAAACAATATCAGAGAGTGCATTACTCTATAAAATATACAACAATGTGACTGGGTGAAAATCTGGACTGTCAACTGAGAATGAAGTTGTGTGTGAACTTGAAAATCCAGGCCTTTGCACATTGTCATTAAACTAGCACTTCTTGAATGAGTAAACCATCATTTGGTTGGGTTTAGTTCCATTTTAGATGAAGGAGATATTTTAGGGTTCTTTCAACCAAGAGTTCCAAATTATTTTTTTCCTGTTTGTATGTAAGTATTGAACACCACTTGTGCCTTAATGAAGGAACCCTTGGGGGCACTAGAACATTGTGCTGGTGACATACTCTACACAATTACTAGAACATTGCATCTCTATTTTGGTAACTAATATGGGAATCTACAGTACAAAAGATGAAGATATGCTGGCAACATATTACATGATGCTTTCCATTTCCTGTTTCTGGGATAGCATCTTTACCCCTCTGAGATTACCTGTAACCGTAAATGCATTCATGCACACAGAAACTGACCAATGAAGTGGTGGAATGGGAAAACAGACCCTGGGTAATGAAAAACAAGACCCATGACTACTAAGATACAGCCTGTGACACAGGGCATGTCATGCATTAAAACTTTTGGAAAGTAAGAGTATTTAGCAACCAGTCAATTTCAGCTATCACACTTACAGCACTTTGATTGGTTGCTATGGGCAACATTTACACATTTCCTTTGCTCTAGGTTGTGTAATTAAATTGTAAGCACTTTTGTTTTTGACAAACATTTTGTTAACATTTACTAAAGAGTGAAGAGTTTGGAGAAGGCAGGAGAAGTGACCAATTTAGGACAACATAGCTGAACTGGAAAGTGAGCTGAATTGGAGAACTTTTCCAAATCAGCTATATTGGCCTAGATTGTTCACTTCTCCTGCCTTCTCCAAACTCTTCACCATTTAGTGAATAACCCTGTTAGTATTTTCTGGGGTAACTTTTGTACCGCCATTTTATAGGTTTTCTTGTCTTACATTGGAAAGAGGAGTATAATACGTACAGTATGTATGGCCCTCTGGTTGAAAAATTAAGCAAGTACCTTTGCCTTGTAAATATTTATTTACACAATTAGATACAAAATGTTTTTTTTCATCCGGTTTCATTTTATATTGGCAAAGCCCAGACATTGTGTATACTACCTCTATCTGATAACAATAAGAAGTAAGACGGCACCATGGATCTTCCACTACTGTGTATGCTACCTCATAGACAATTGCAATCATGTCTTAAATTGCAGGTACTAGAAGAGCTGCTAAATCTAAGAGCACAGATTTAAGAACAAGTCTTGTTTTAATAAAATAAGAGTATGCAGATTTAATGCAGTATTGGGGCCACTGGCTGCTCTTGGTTCCTAATTGTTTTTGTAGACCATTGTTTTTTTTTTTTGAGTTGTATATGATATTGTTACTGCTTGTACTACAGCCATTTTGTAAGTAGATGAACCACCAGACCTCTTGTGTTTCCTAGTCTGGCATTGGTTTTAGGCCAGCATACATAAGTAAAGGTTATTACATAATATTGTGCAATATTTTTGTTGTGTTGTGTAATAACTGTCTTGTCTATAGGGCATGATATATCATGGGGGTGTCAGTGTTACTAGTGATCAAGTATGTTTTAATAACAGAGATGAGCAGAGATAACATACCACTACAAATTACTGCCTCATAGGTAGCAATAAAAAAAGTTCACAATAAATAAAAAAGGCTAGTCTGAAAATCTTTTTTGACGATCATTCTTAGCCTGATGAAGAGGACCCTGCGTGGCCCCTAAAACGCTTGCACTTGAGTGGCAATATCGATCAATAAATGGACTTTTGCTGATTGCACAAGACATTATGATATACAGGTGACATCTCTTGAGATTTCTATCGTATGTCACAGCGCCATCCGTGGTCACAACAAGCACCCACCTGCATCTCACAGGGGAACGTATCCGGTAAGGAGAGCAGCAAGCCATCTTCTCATTATCTAGTCATAGGCTGAAGACACATATTTCATAAGACTGCTAGAGATCATTGCTATTACAGCCCCATTTGTGCGCCCTACATCCCCTTTAAAATGACTTGTGCCAAAGTTGACATTTCCTTCAACAAGATCCATTATAATTGAGATCAGAAAAAAAAATATTAAAAGATGAACGTGATTTACCCTTACCCCTGTTTCTTTAACAGTGCAAGGGATCATAATACAGTCATGAATAGGCGGTTGGTTACACACATTCTAGAGAATTATCAAACCGGTTTGCTCTGTACTTGGCACTTCAATGAGCTGTTTGTACCTGGTTGTAACGAATTATGCTTTTTGGGAACATTGCTTCTACTTCCCATGCTCTGCTCAAAATGTCCTCTGTATCTGTTGTACTTTTTTCTCTTTATTAAATAAATACTTTATCATTTAAAAAGAGAAAGAAATGGACAGCACAGAAAAAGTAAGGTGGTTTGAAAGAAAGACATTATTAATTTTAGTTTATTCAAATAGTCCATTTCACTACTGGAAACCAGTGTAAAGAATATTTTTCCTTTACTGACCTGAGTAAACACCAAGGTATAGAATACTGTCAATACATGTCCCAGGTGCTGCACAGTAAGTGCGGAAGGGTCACATGTGGCCCCCAAACAGTAGGTTGGGCACCAGGGATGTACACAATGGACTCAATTCAGCTGAGAAATCGTTAACCATAAAAATTGGGTGGAGGCCGGTGGCTTCAATAACCAACTGGCTTTGTACATTTCTTAGAAGTTGAAGCAGTTTATATACACATTTCAACTTCACACCTGAAGGCTATAACACCCAGCTTCCTAGAAGAAAAACATATAAACAAAAGATATAACACTGATACTGGGATAATGTTAAATGCACACTCATGCTCAACTAACTGCCTGAAATAGAAAAATAAATACAATCGTATCATGTTCATACATTTCTTAATCTTGCATTCAAAGGTTAACACTACAAAACCATTAGCTAATCAAGATATTGAACTGCTTTGTGTAATAGGTCAGGCTGCAAAGACTATTCACTTTTCACATTACTTAAGTCACACAGCTCAGAAAGAGATAGGTATGGAATTAATGGCTACTGCCAGTTTGGAGTTTAGGGATATATTTTTATGTTCCATATTAAAGAGAAACACTCATTGATTGAGATAAACCAAATTATGTGTGTGAATTTGGATACATAAATGATTATATGATTATATTTATCAGGCATAGCTATTCAAACAGTTTGTAGGCAAACACCAGCCATGGAGGGTTGTGTCATCAGGCCTAAGCATCTAGAAACCAAGCCTAACCAATGTATTCTCATTGGTGCATTCTTATTGGTGTAGATCTTAACAATCACAGTGTTATGCCTACTTGACTACTGAGGGCCATTTTGGAGTTTGTTCTCTGTGTGGTGTAACCTTAAACAAGCAAATGTAAAATCCAAAGGCATCTCCGAAAACATTGCTTACATGTTGTTTTTATTTGCAATGCCATTTTTAACTCTATTTTATACAAATTCAGACCCACCCCATTTGTAGCAGCCATGGCAGCTTTGGTCATGACAGTTCCCATGTTTCTATTCTCAGAGTTTCCAATAAAGGACAAGTCTGTTTTTAGCAAAAAGTAGTCAAGTGCACTCTTCCTAGACCTCCTAAGTCAAACTAACCTAGATACCCCCCAATCTGCAGTTTACATACTTCAACATGACAGCCACAGTCTCTTACACTGTTTACCGCTTTAAGATGGAAGTCTTCAGGTCTGGCCACACTGAGGGCCGGATTTCCCATAAGGCCAACCAATGCCCGGCCTCGGGGCAGCAGGTAGTAGAGGGGCAGCAGGGGTGTGGAATTCCTATCTCCCGATGCCCGGGCGGGTAGTTATTTTCTACATTTAGTCCTGCTTTGGGCAAGCTAAATATACAGCGGGGAAGCCACCACTTGTTTTGTACAAGTAATCTCGGTTACATTGTATGCAGCCTACAGGTCTGCCATTCTCCTTCTCCATGGGGGGGAGGGGGGTTGGCAGGTAGGAGGGGCACATTGAGGAACATGGCCTTGGGGCAGCAGAGAGAGTAAATCCGGCCCTGGCCACACTTGAATGTGTCTAGTTCCAGTAGCTTCCAGTAGCAGTTTATTTCAGCGCAAACAATAGCAATCATTTTACAGAAACAGTCACTATGTCTGACTACATTGAAGTGTGTTAGGTCTGCTGCTGCCCATCAACATGAGAATCACGCTTGATGGTAGAAAAAGCATCACTTTGGGTTAATAGTCATTTTACATCTGGGCTGTTCAACATAATCCCCTGAAACCCCTTGGAATCACTAGAACTATACTCTACTGCAGATAAACATCGATGAGACATGGCAGACTTTTTTTTAAGAAAAGCACTATTTGGAAGATTAGCGCTTAACTATCCTTGCCTATCCTTTCTGACTGAAATAGAACTGTTTTTAAATATTATTTATTGTTATATTCACCACACACACACACACACACACACACACACACAGACAGACAAGTACTGGTAAATAATTTATATATTAAAGATGCAAAAATACCACACGTGAGATGAAAGGTTTGTACTCATTTAACCAGTTGACATCCGCGGTGTTAAACCCCCTTCCCATCCAGGCCATTTTTCAGTATTCAGCGCTGCGGTACTTTGACTGACATTTATTCCGTCATGCAGCGCTGTACTGAAATGAATTTTATACCCTTTTTTGGGGACAGATAGAGCTTTCTTTTGGTGGTATTTATTCACCACTGGGGGTTTTATTTTTTTACTATATTAAGGAAAAATTACCGAAATTAAAAAAAAAAAAACCGTTTCCCCTATATTAAATGATAAAACATTTATTATTACCCAATTTTTTGGTAAAATATAAAAGATGGGGTCACGTCGGGTAAAAAGACACTAAACATGTCAAGCCTTAAAATTGCGTGCGCGCGCGAAACCTCAAAAAACGATAATACCCAAAATTGGCCCTAGGCGACGCTTTAAAAGCTGTTACCGCTCATCAGTTTAGTGTTATCAGTGATTGATGGCCCTAAAATGATTGCTCTCACTGCGACGTTCGCGGCGATATGTAACATGTGTAGCGCAATTGTAATTTTTGCGCGCTGGGGCACCGGACGCGTATTTACGTTTATAGGCGCGTAAACGTGGGGGTGGGGGAGTTAAACATTTTGGGGGGGTTTTTTCCCCTTTTTTTATATGTGGCTTTTATTTTATTTTATTTTTTTATGTGTTACTTTTCTTTTTTTTTATTTATATTTTTTTTTTGCACTTATTGTTATTGCTATTATATAGGGGGATAACAACCCCCTATATAATAGCAAAGGCACACTGACAGGTCCTCTTTATGGAGATATTAGGGGTCTCTAGGACCCCTAATATCACCTATGGACCCCAAAAGAAGCTGATAAAGCAGAGATCTGCTTTATCAGCTTCTTCTCTCTCCAGATGACTGACAGGTGAATGCGGAAGTGATGTAACACACATCACTTCTGCATTCACAGCCCGGACGGGGATCAGCAAGGAGCTGATCTCCCGTCCTCCTCCTCCTGACGCCCTCGGAGCCGGTCCCGGGATCCAAGATGGGGCAGCGGATCCCGGGAATCAAGGTGAGGGGTCGGGGGGGAAACCGGAAGCGCCGACCGGAGGGGGGGTGCCGCGAACGAGCACATATAGGTGATCGGCGGGCTATGGACCCGCCGATCGCCTATATGTGAAACACCCGGTAACGGGTGTGTGCATTTAGCGGGTCTTTTCTGCCCGTGCGTGCCCGCTAGGGGGCGCGCGCGAGCAGAAAAAAATTGCCGTCTGGAGACGGCAACCCGCAGATGCTGCAGTGCCGTCCGTCCGTTTTTTTACTACGGGCGGACGGCAAGAGGTTAAACAACTGTACCCAGATATACTGTTATTTTTTTTGGTAGTGTTTTATTCAATCCCTATTTATTTTTCAATACCAGTGTGCTTTGCATCTCTTTGCTGCTTGATGTGATGCAACCCCAATTTAGTAAAACGACATATTCCTTTATGCATTGCTTCCAGCAAGCAATGAGGATGATACATTGTGGGAAGTTCAGATAGTGCTTTGTAGTTCAGAAGGCAGGCTTTGTTAGAGTGGTTACACAAGGAAGTACATATTCACAGGGCTGAGTTAAATTGTGTCACTGTATTAAGGAAGTACATCCTATGGTCAAATTCAAAATGCTGACCGTTGAGAATAGGACACACAAATTGTATTCAAAAATATTTGGCGCATATATAATTCCTCAACAAATACAGTGCTGTCTTCTACCCATGAGACCATGGATTAATCAATATGTATAGGATATGTAATCTACTGTAAAATTATGTTTATTTTCTATATGACCACATTCTGTATGTGTTGTTTGGACAAAACATTGCTTTTAATTTTTTTTTATGTATGTAGCATACTTAAAATTCAATTAATATGATTGTTAAAATAAAATATTCACTAATCACATTCCCATACATATATAAAGTATGATACTTACAATGCTATGAATAACCAATAATCTTATACGGCTGTTTCCATATTAGTTCCAAGAATAGAACAATGGCTCTGTATTAGAAAAACAACTTTGCTAGTGATCAAAGGGTTCTATACATCCATATGAAATAGCAAATTTGTAGGTTTTTATACCAATTAGCACTGTGATTATAGCTCAGTATTGCAAGGTAGTTTGAAATGGTTTACATATTGACTTGGAAGGCCCTGATTCGGGATTCCCGTGCGGCTACCAAAACATTCCAGTCATGTCATGAAATTTGGTAAGGTCACTTAGGTAAAACATTCAGAGAATTTCAAAATAAATCTTCACATAAAAGGAATTTTCGAAGAATCATCATTCAGTACAGTTCATGGTCTCCTCACCCAGATGTCAATAATGCTGCATTGGGTAAGGGAGACTAGAGCAGCTCCCTACTACAAAACGTCCTGGACTGCGTATGATACCAAGCATCAACACTCACTTACAAGTGACCTTGATTTTCAAGAAATCATTTTATTCAAGCAAAAGTTTCATTGAAAGATAAATATCAACCAAACTCTATTCTACTGAAAATAACATTTGATTTACTTTCCTTTTAAGAGCCATTTTGAACTCCTTATTCCTTAGGGTGTAGATAATAGGGTTTAATGCAGGAGTCAAAACAGCATAGAGAAGAGATACTAGCTGGTCTTGTTCTAAGGAATCGCTAGATGTTGGCCTCATGTACATGAAGCTTATGCTTCCAAAGAAGATGATGACCACCACCAGATGAGAAGCACAAGTGGAAAATGTTCTTCTTCTGCCAACGTTACTATGTATTTTTAAAATGCTTGAAATAATTTGGATATAGGAAACCAGAGTGAGAAAAAATGAGCTGAGCCCTAAAAATCCTCCTGCTGTGAGGATTAGAATCTTGTTAAGAAAAGTGTCAGTACATGCCAGCTTCAGCATTGGTGGGATATCACAGAAGAAATGAGAGATCCTGTGTGAATTACAGTATGGCAACTGAGCTGTGAAAATGGTGTGTATAACTGATGTTGCAAAGCCAACAAGCCAAATACCTACAGCCAGATGGAGGCATTTGTGTTTGTTCATGATGATGGTGTAGTGCATAGGGTCACATATGGCCACATATCTGTCATAGCCCATGACGGAAAGCAGCAAACATTCTGTGCTGCAGCAGGAGACATAGAAATAAAGCTGAGTCATACACCCTCTGTATGAGATCTCCGAACTGCCCCCCACCAGACCCAACAACAACTTGGGCACAGTTACTGAAGAATAGCAAATGTCCAAGAATGATAAGTTTCCCAGGAAGAAGTACATGGGTGTGTGTAGTTTACTGTCTGACCATATGGTAGCTGTGATGGTAAAATTTCCACCCAGTGATATAAGGTATAAGAGGAAGAATATCACAAACAAAAATGTCTGTATTCTTTCATCACTGGATAGTCCAGCCAGAATGAAACCTGCATCTGATGTCCAGTTCCACCAACTCATTGTAGGATCCATTTGTCTGATGAACAAAAGATTACTGTTATAAAGCTTTGAACTGCATTCAGTTCTGGTTTCTGATCTAAATAAAACAAGTGCATTATTTTGAATGGCAGTGCTGTGTTGCTCTTTAAGTATAACCTGTTGATGTTGTTTCCGTTTCTGGAGGTTTAAAGTGTGTTAACTGCGAAAAATGGATAATCCAGTTAAACTCCATGCATGCAGCTAAATACGCCACTAAAATAATATTAGATGCCACAAAATGTATTCCAGGCACCTCTGCCAAGACAGCACAGTAAGATCCTCAGGCTCCACTGCAGCAAAACAACAGCTTTGTCAAGAACACAAAATGAGTCTACTGACTAAACACTGAATCAGCTCTAAGCTTAGCCATTCTCTCTTTCCCCTGGAGGCCCCCTTAACCATTTTATGCTTTTTTTTCTATACTTAACCTCATTGAAGTGTTAAGATCACTCACTTGTCACACAGGGTCCTCTTTTTCAGTAGTGGGCAGTCGTCCTCAATGATTTGGAGAACATCGCTGATGTGATGATGTCAGCACCACTCTGTAGCATTAGACAGTCAATATAGGGCATTGAGGTGAGGCCCCTTAAGTGGCAGGCCCATGACTCCCTGAAGGTGAAGCATCTCCTTTGTCTTCTTGGCTGAGTGACGCTAGATATCATTTAACCCAAAACACTGAGAACATCCTGTGTCGGGGACAGATCCAGATTTAGGAGTATTGCAGCCTGAGCTAGTGCTTCAATGATCACCCTGATAAGTCAGCACCACTAAAGATTAATATTTACAAATTGATTCTGAAATGTAATCAAATTAAAAATAATTCTAATAGAAGGCTAGCCATGTTTTGTGGAATGAATACATTGGATTCGAAAGAAGTAAAAACTTTGTCTTCTCTACTTAAAAAAAAGGGATTTTATATCTGATCTTCCTACTAATTTCCTGCTCCAGGTGGCCCCAGCCACTCAGATAGGAAGTGACGGGAAATCTTCTGAATGAGGGACACAAACAGCACTAAAAACCTGACAGAGGTTTGATCCCTTACCTACTCCATCCAATACTCAGAAAAAGCTTTGCATAGACCTCTATGTAAAAAAGTATTTAAATGCCAATTCCGGCCAGCAAACCTCAACTGAACATTTCTACTGCATGTGATATCCCATTAAAGCCAGTCTCTACCTTTATATTGTAATTATACTGAATTACCCAAGTAGCTGGGTCAGGTGAGTACTTGAATTGGAAATATAGATGGCATAAGGCAATCTTGCAGATCTGAAAGTGAGAGCAGAGCCATAACTATTTATCTGCATACTTGATTCATGTCTGTGCCTCAGAAAGTATGCACGCCATGGGATGGCCAGACAACTAGTTTGTGTAGAATAGGATGTGAACAGGGTCATCCTCCATATTTATTAAAAAAAGATTCCTTTATTATTTTTGTCTATAGTATATTTATAAGCTGGTTTATTACTGAAACAGACCTTATTTTCAATGCAGTTTGATTTATTTAAATGATTATATTGTATGCTGAGGAAAGGAACCTTTGAACTGTTTTGACTTTTGGTCATCAGGAGAGCATTTATGGGTAGGCAACATAGGTTCATTTTAGAGAAGCAGAAAGCTGCTTATAATTTCATTTGTTTATTTAGTTTCCACTGCTTTTTAAACATATAGGCATAACATAAATACTATTTTCTTTTTAAATGTTTGCTTATACCCTTACTTATTTTAATACAGTCTATATTAAACTGTGCACTAAGGTCATGAACAAGGCTGGATTTGCACCACCTTTAACAAGCAAATTTTTTTCATCTTCTTTTACTAGTACTTGTTAACCTGTCTTGGAATATTGTGGCAGTGTGTATACACTGAGTGGCCAGATTATTATGACCACCTGACGTTTGTAGGCAAATTAGCTATAATTAGCTATAATTTCGCGCTGAAGTTGCTAGAGGGCCAGACCATTATAAATAGGGAAGCAGGTTGTTTACCACGACAGTAGAAGTGATTTTTTTCTGAAGATATGGGTAAACAACGCGATTTAACAGCCTTTGAACGTGGGATGATTGTTGGCGCTCGGAGCCATGGAGCGAGTATCAGCAAAACAGCAGAATTCACTAAATGTTCAACAGCAGCTGTTGTTAAAGTGTTTAAAGACTGGACTGTCAGCCAAATCTGGGTCTGAACGTACGAATTGTGGCCGTCAGCGACTAGTCAATGTTAGGGCAGAACGGAGAGTGGCAAGACTGGTACAAGACAACAGAAGGGCAACAGTGCAGTGTCAGATTCCTCGCATCACCTTTCACCATCTCGTGGAGTCACGAGGCGGCCCAACAAAGTCATCTCGTGGAGTCATCTCATGGCCCAACAAAGTACTGATGGGGTGGTCATAATAATCTGGCCACTCAGTGCATATGGCTGGCACACTGTACCTAGTGGTAAACCTAGCTCTGGTCATTCAGGTGGGACAGCCTTATGGGGCAGCACATATTTAAAATCTAGTTCTGGGATGCATCATGAATTTGATGGTGTTCAGTAACTGGTCCCCATTTTCGCCATAATCATTGAACAGTGATCAGTTACACAAACCAGATTTGTTCTTCCATATCAGACATGAGATCATCATTTGTCTGCAAAATGATCCTCCAAATGATATATAACATCCTCATTTGTTTAAAAAATACTCAGTTCTACAGGCATAACGCATAAAACAATTTTCCACATCAGACATTTGATTCGTCAGAATTTTTTACACATGAAACATATTTGTTAGAAAATAATATCTTGCACATCAACTGTCATTTGTTAGAACAAATTGTCTTTACACCAATAATGTCAGAAAAATATTCCACATCAAACATATAATTTGTCATAAACGTTCTCCTTCACCTCAGACATATATAGTAGCGCAGTTCATCAGAAAAATTATCATTGTTCATCTTAAATAATATCAATAAAATCCACTAGAGGTCACCCCAGCTACAGTCATGCTGATGCTTGTTCTTTCGCTTGGGCAAACACCAATCCATCTTCTCAAGCATGTGAATACACATTTGTATGTGATACAATCATGTAGTCTCAGTATCTACAAACAAACGTGTGTGTGTATATATTACATGTTATAAGGTTAGATCAAGCCGACAGTAATATTTTTAAGTCCAAAAAACACAGTGGTATTCCCCCTGATTCAAAAATATGTTACTCAAAAAACATTAACCACTAAATATGTTTTTGATGCACATACTCTCTAATAAAGGGGAAATATTACTTTTTTGGGGGGGATTTAATCAATTTATACTGATTGCTTTGGTTTACACAGTAGCTGATAAACATATAAAAAGTGATATCTGACTTATTTTGCTGTAGCTCAGAATTCCACTTTATTTTGAAGCACAGACTAATGCTATTTCTATATATAAATAAGTAGTATGTATGAAATAGATTACATGAGATAAAAGATACTAAACAGCAATTCTGTGAATTACAACACCATAGTAATCAGCTAGAGTCTGTGTATCTAAGATTATAACACAATGCAATGTATTGTTTTAGCCTATTGTATAAGAATATAAATGTAGATTTTGTTACTGATTTGCAAAATGAAGAAATCAGTAGACGGGGCTGATGTGTAGTAAACAAAATATATGCATTTCATAAAGCAAAGAAATAATTTGTTACAAATCAATAATTTTATGCTACAGAAGGCTCACTTTCCCGGCAGTCCTGAATACGTTTATGTGCTTTGAATATGATGTCTGCACACTTCATCCTGTCAAATATCCACAACTCTCTCTTACTATAATGTTCCAATGACAACCAAGCTCACAATGCCACACTGAGCATCTACATGAGAATTGTTCTGCCACTCATGTTTTATGTAAGTGGATTGTCCAGGCTGTAGGGATGTCTGTAGCTTGCTGTAAAACAGAACATGCTAATAACACATGAGCAGGCTATGAACTGCTGAATTAATAACTCCATCTCTGTACTCTAGAGTGCTATATTTAGGTTTGTACCTTCTCTGTAGCTTAGGGAAAAAGGGAGTAGTAGAAAAACCACTTGAGATGCTTAATGATAAAAAGTTGTGCAGACTGAACTAATGAAGTATAAAAAGTAAACTTTAAATTAAGGAAACATTACAACACAAAGCTGCTGCCATTTTTTTTGGATAGTACCTTTATAGTAGCACAAAGAGCACTATATTAGTACATATGGTGAGCACTTTAAAGTCCATTTCCACCTTTGTAAGTGATTATCATGTATTGTGCATGATCTGCAAAGAGGTGCAGTGATGATGTGCAGTATATATGTGCACATTTTCATGACTCACATTGCAGGCTTTCTTCATTTTTTAATAAACTTTTATTAGGTCTGAAGCCTAGAAATTCAAACATTTCTCCAAATGAAACTCAGTCTGACACCAGAGTCAGATTGTAAAGCAGGCTGTAAACAGCTGCCCCCCTCCCTGTGATTCTGTGTAACACGATCACTAAACACCAGCTCTGCCTTTAAACACAATACACTGTCGAGGTTGCCACTATGAATACTAATGAATGGGGGGTGGAGAGCTCACAGAGATCTCAGTTGTAATTTACATAAAGCACAGAGGCATGGGCATATGAGGAGGAAAGATAACAAAAAACATAAGTAGCAACTGCATATGCCTGTTCAGTGTACATTGCTGGCATTTGTTTTTTAAAATACCTTCGCAAAGGTGGAAATAGGCTTTAAGGATGCAGTCCACTCGCAATAGCTTCTGTTTAAGGGCCTGGAAGCCCACTTTTATTTAAACGGAAGTTCACACATCCACCTTGGATATCCTCACAGAGGTTGTTCAGTACAACATCCGTGCACTGGTTGCAAAACAACACAAGTTTTGCGTCCTGGCTTCCACTTTTAACATTAATAATTTTGACACACCAGCCCTCTCTATAGTGCTGTCCCAAACTTGTACTGGCGGCTCCTCAGGCTCTCAACTCTCCCAG